ATTATGATGATAAATAAAAAGAAAAACAACAACAACAACAACAAAATTATCTATTCATAATTACATTATTTGTATGGAAAAAAAATAAATGAATTTTATATATAAAAACATAATATAAATTGAGATCATCTTTGAAGAAAGAGAGAGAGAGATAGAGAAATTTATATTAAACAACCAACACCTTGATCATCATCATCATCATCATCAATGGATGAGTAGTAAGCCAAATAATGAATAATAATAATATTCATTGCAGGCTGTGATGATGATGATGATGTCATACACCCAGAACACCAAAAAAAAAAAATAGCCATAAATTAGCTATTTAACACTTGAAGGTTATATCGTTAAACATTTTATTATATAAACAACTTTGCTAGAGAAAAAATAACCTTAATATAATGTCGATTATGATGATAATGATGGTATGTGTGTGTGTGTGTGTGTGTGTATGATGTGACCATTAAATTCATTGATTTTTTTTATTATTATTATTCATGATAATAAGGTTAAAAGTAGCGGATCAATCGCTTTGTTCTTTATTTTTTTTTCTTGTTTCACGCTTTTATCGTTTATATTATATTTCATATATATATGAAAATTTAATTCTTCAAAGTTTCAAATTTCATAAAGTGAATGAAATGAGAAAATTAATTTTTTTTCCTACCTATTTGGCATAAAAAAAAGAAGAGAAAAAAACTGTTTAAATTAATTAGACTAACAAAAAAATTTTTTTTTTCAAAAGGTGCAAGGTGTGAGACTAGAAATTTTTTTCTGTTTTGTTTTGCTGTACCTTGAACATTTTTTTTTTTTTTGAAACAATTCTTTAGCAGCAGCAGCAGCAGTAAAGATAAATATTGATCATCAACAAACAACACACACACGAAAATGATCGACAGGTTCTATTATGAACAAAACAAGAGTGACCTGTGAAAAAAAAAATTTCATCCGTGTGTGATTAGCAAAAATTTTTTTTTTTGTCTATCAATCTCATCGGTAGATTATATTATTGGGATGAAAAATCATGACTACCATTATGATATGAAAATGATTTTCTAATGAAAACACACACACACACACACATTTCGGCAACTTTTTTTTTGATTGTTATTTTCTTTTCTTCTTCTTTTTCTTCGTTTTCTTTTCATACAAACAATAACATAACATTCACATAAACAATAGACCGCTTCAATGTTTCCCATAGTTTGTTAAATTTTTTTTTCTGGTCATCATCATCAAGCCGGTAATTGCTATTGTTTTTTTGTGTGTGTGTGTGTATGCACAATTGACTTCAAAAGAAGAATAAATTAAAGACACCAACGATTCTGATCAATGATGATGATGATGATGTTTATCATCATTATATTTATTTCATAAAATCATTACGCGTTAATAAAGTTTATCACATAGAAAAAAAAAATTTCATTGAACAACAACAAATCAGATTGTGTGCATATAAATATTAAGATTATATAGATTATCGATTGATATATAAATGCATAATTAACTTGCCAAAAAAAAAAAAAAAACAGAAAGCCAAACTATTTATCTATATCAACATCAATAATATGATGATTTAAAAAAGAAATACACGAGTTGAGATTGTGATAAAAGTTGTTGTCTAGATATTAAAGCATTTTCTGTTCTGAAAATAAACTACTATTTTGTGTGTCTATGTGTGAACGTGTGCGTGTGTGTGTGTGTGTGTGTGTGTGTGTGATAATTGAGTGTATCACAATCAAAAGAGATACAAGATTAAATGAAATTCATTTGTGCAAATTCAAATTTAATCTTTAATGAATATGTAATTAGTCAAGCAAAAAAAAAAAAAAATAAAACAAAGATAACAATGGCTAGGAAAAAAATCTAATTGAATCACAGTAAAAAAAAGCTATATTCAAAAACAACAACAACAACAACAAAAAAAAACCTCATCTCGTCTAATTTCTAGATTAATACAAGATTCATAGCACCTATCATTAGTTTGATCAAAAAATGGTGATGATGATGATGATGATCAAATTGGAACTAAGAATTCGTGTTAACATCAAAACAATAGATATTCTATTCATTATGTTGTTGCATGAATTATATTATTCATGCAACAAGATTCTAATCAAATTGATATCAATCGATTTTGATCATCATCCGACAACAACAACAACAACAACAACAACATTATGAATAAAAATTATTATAACAACAATAAAAAAAAAATCCGATGCACGAATTTAATATATGATGATAAAATGTAAAAAACAAAAAAATTTATAACTTTTAATGATGATGACCGTTTGAAATATTAGATAGCACCTGAAGAAAAATCAACAACCAATTTAAATTTTTATCGATTAAACTAGTGATAAACAAGAAAAAAGGAAAAAAAAGTTATTAAAATAATTTTCTCTGGCTTGTTTTCTGCAATTCATATCTATCTATACATATATATTATTCATTACCAATGGTGATAATGATGATGATGAACACAAAGCAGATTATGATCGTCATCGTCGTGATCTTTTGATATAACAATGTAATGATGATGGTACTCTGGTGGTGGTGGGTGGTCATTTAATATCCTAGATTAGTTTTGTCCAATGTTTTTTTTCCTATTCCATTCATTGCTATTACTCGATAATAATGATCATCACAATAATAATTATTAGTATAAATATCATCATGTTTTGCTTGATTATTTCGAATGAATATTTGTTATCGTTGTTGTTGTTGTTGTTGTTGTTCATTTTTTTTTCATAAAGATCCAATTGCAATTAAATGATGATGACAGCAATAAGCTATTTGAATATATTCGTATGACAAGGATTAAATATAAAAAAATAAAATGTCCCATTCTATTAACAATGTTATTATTATTATTGTCCTTCATACCTTGATTTATATATATATATATATCAAATACTGATGAAAATAGAGTTTAACTTTTGCTATTTGTATTGTCCATGACTAACATATATTTATATCCATACATATATATATATTATAATGGACATAAATATATGCTGACATGAAATTCTTTTTAATTAATAATCAGCTGACCAAAACAAAAACAAAAACATAAATTTGTCATTCTACAATCAAAACAACAACAACAACAACAACAAAATGGTCAATTGTTTTTTTTTTTTTTACATGTAATGAATGACGACAACAACAACAACAACAATAATAATAATAATAATATTTGTGCCACTTTATTATTGCATAGAAATGCAAAAATTTCCTACATTTTGTGGTGAATAGAAAAAAAAACGTTTTTTTTCTGGAACAACAAAATTATGGCTTTTTCACATTATGTTTTGTTCAACAGAATGAATAGAGAGACAAGTAGAAAGGTTTTTTTCAAACACTTTTACACACACACACTGGATGATGATGATGATAATAACATAATCCAATTGATGCTTCCGGATATTATACAATTTTTTTTTCTTTGAATGAAATATTCAATTCAACAAACATCATTATTATTATTATTATCAAATTGATCAGATAATTTGAGATAATCATCAGAAAAATAAAAAAAAAATCAAACCTTCGTTTTCGACAACTTATTTTTCCAGATTTTTTTTTTTTGATTAGCCTGGATGAATGAAATTCACATCACATCCGACACACACACACACACACACAGATACACAATCGGATTTTGTTAACGATAATAAACAATTAGTTTAGGCTTGGCCAATTTAAATGCAATCCTCTCCTATTTTTGTTTTCTTGTTCTTTAATTCATTTGATCTAATAATTTTTTTTTTTTTCGGCTCATTCACAACATCTACATTGCAAACAAACACACAGCGATGGGTAGACAGACAGACAGGCTTATTAACCAAAAACTTACCTGTATTTTCTATTCATCATTTATTTTGTTTTTATTTTATCAATAAATGTGTCAAATTAGATTTTTAGACATTCAACCTGTAATGATTATTATTAGCTACCAATTTTTTTTTTCATAATTTTATTCACTTTCTTATTGGTATTCTTTAACAAAAAAACAAAAAAAAAAAAAACAAAACACTATATGGATGTCAATAACTTTTTTCTTTGTTTTGTTGGCAACCATAAACTGGCTGGATTTGCTTGGCTGAACTTTTGTGTATCAATATACACACTTCATTTTTTTTTGTTTTATTCAAGTTTAGTGGAAAAAAAATCACAGAAATTTATTTATTTATCTATTTTTCCACTTTTTTTTTGTTAAAACAAATTGCATTCAACCTGAACAAACAATGTGATTGTTATAATTCATTTATAATAATTCTAAGTAAAATACACAGCATATATATAAATACTACATTATTATGTGTTGAAATTAATTTACTTGTCGAAATGAAGAAAAAGAAAATCAGAGAGATTTTTCCTTCAAAAACATTATCAACATTCACGGATAATGTAATCGATAGGATTCTGAGCCTATTGAATGTCATCATTCTTATCATCATATGTATAAGTGATGTGTAACCAAAAAAAAAAAAAAAGAGCCAAGGAGGTATAGGATAGCGATCATCGATTCAATCAATATTTCAACAGAAAAGAGAGAAAGAAGAGTCTTAATGAACAAATGAAATCAACTCAACTCGTTACATATATTAGAAATTATTAATTTAAACAAACAGAAAAGATAGGTGTGGCCATTCTGGATAATCGTCTTATGTTATGAGACAATATATTGAATAATGGTAAAAGTAGGCGGCCCAATGTAACTAGTATGTACAATTTATAACAAGCTTTTACCTATGAAATGATTGGTTAGCTACTTGCTATCGAAGGCGGAGTTTTCGTAATATATTTTTATTGTAAATGGATTTCTCTCATTCTCATTTACTCTTTTACACTTTTATATATTCATTCATTCATTCACTGTATTTATTTTACAAACATATATATGATGAAAATTGTAAAAAAAAATTAGATGACTACCTGACTGAATTTAGCTTAAACAACACTGTAAGTTTAATCTAATTTTTCATTCACTTATTAATGGCTAATACACAAACACACACACACACACAAATTCATTTGATGAAGTAGTTTTTCAATGTAGTGGTCCACATCGATGATACAAACGCGCCATAGTAACGAATCGAACTGCAAACCAACCAAAACAAAACAAAACAACAGAAAAAAAACCATTAAACTTGACTAGCCAGAAGAGATAGCCATAAGATAGCTAGCTAGCTAGCCAGGTAAGCTCATAGGTTCAGATCGAGTTTATATCTCGACAGTATCGGTTGTAGTTTATTTTTTTTACAGTTCATATGCAGTGTATTACATAACAACATAAATTGCGGCAAATTATCAATTCAATCCTTTTATTCCAGTATATCCATTATTTAATATTCATGTAACAACCAAAATAAAAACATTCAACGAATTCATTGTGATGATAATTTTGTGTGACAATTTGTTATTGTGATGAATTATTTTTATTTGTATCTGTGTTTGTGTGTATTTTCAATCATTTCTGATCAACAATCTATTCATACAAAGAAACCTATCTATAAATAATCAATGATTGATCAATTGACCATCACAATCATTAAATGAATTGTCGATCATAAGCGATTTAAAAGGTATGTAACTTGATTGAATTTCTTCTGATTTCTATCATCAAAATTGATTAATTAATTAAATTCAATCACTTGTTGATCGCACAAATCTTCTGGAATTTCTTTCTCTCTCTCTCTCTCTCTTCTTCTTTCAAACAAATCGAATCATATGAAAGTAAAAGATGACAAAAAAAAACTGAAGATTATTCACAGATAATTAAATATTTTTCTTTTAGTATATGCGACATTACTTGCCTCAAGCATTAATTCATGTTGTTGTCGTTGTTATTAATCTGTTTCAGGATCTTGTTTTAAAATTTTGTACAATATTATCTGTACAGGAGGCGCATATCGCTCACAATACAATTATTATTATAAGAAATAGTCAATCAATTAGTGGAAGAATATTGATGATGATGATGATGATGATGAACGAACATCATTCACAGCAAGGACATTCTTTTATTTTTTCACTTGTTGTTGAAATGATGATGATGATGATTATACCGAATAATATCACATCATGATTTGGATATTTTGTTGTTGTTGTTGTTGTTGTTATTATTATTATTAGTATTACAAATGAAAATTGAAATATCCATAATGTTTTTTTTCTCAAATCAAGATAGCACATCAGGATTATATTTGTTATTATCATTAATGCAAAAAGAAAATGTATTTTAAAAAACTTTTGCAAATTTCGGTTCCCAACTACAATCAGCATCTTGTCATCATTTTTATTTTGAATGTATGTCTTTATTGAATTTTATTCCAAAGAAAATAAAATAGTTGTCATCATCATCATTCATAATTTGATCATGATAATCTATTGATTAGTAACAAAATAAATGTGTTTATACATTAAATGTGTATATGTATCATTTAAAAAGCCATCAAAAATGTTTTCCACGGAATTCATGAGAATTTTTTTTACTTTCTTTTTTTTCCTGAAATCATATTTTGTGGTGTTTATAACAAACAGATATATAAACATTAAAAATGGTAAAAGGCAAATTTTTCTGTTTTTGATAGATTAAGAACATCATCATATTTAAAGTTTACAATGCAACATGAAATGTCATAGTGCTAATAAACAACCTCATCATCATATAATTAATATTTCTAATTTCTAAATATGATAATGGCCTTTCTGAAATGAATATACATCAAATAATCAAATTGAATTGGTTAATATTTCGATTATGTTGTTTTTCGGGTCACATTCAGGTTCAAATGATCTTTTTCTTCCATCAAATTTTCTTTCTCTCGTCATTTGAAAATGTAGACATCATTAATTGTTTCGAATTATTGATATCAATGACCAGGAGAGTAAGAAGAGAGAGAGAGAGAAAAATCCGTGTGAAATTCATGCAGATCAATTAATGGCCAAATTTTCCGTTTCTTACTTTTTAATTGTCAAATAATTAGTTACGCCATACCGCCTACCTTAAGCAAGGGAACCAGAAAAAATAATGAAACTGAATATAAAAAAAAAATTTTCCTAAATCCGGAGAAATGAATTCAATTTGAATGACAGAAAATGTTCACACATGACAAATGTCAATCAAATTATCATCATGAAAAAAGCAAAAATAAAATTCAATATAAAAATAGAGTGAGAGAAAGAGAGAGAGAGAGAGAGAGAAATTTTATTTAAGAAAAATCATATGATATCATTCATCGGTAGTGTATACATTTGGTGCAATACCTGTCCACCACCATCATAATCGACAACAACAATAATAATAATAATAAAAAACCGGACAATCGGTCTCGTCACGCTATAGTGGCCATTCATTTATTTATTCATTCATTCATTCATTCATTCATGTTCAAATGTTGCTAATGACCATGGTTTTATAATAAAAATATTAATAATCATCTCCATAAGATCAAACGAAGCATAAATCTCATATCATGTTTGAATATTATCCTATCTTTCTCTCTCTCTCTCTTTTGCCATTTTGATGGCAAATATGATATGACAATTTATTTTTTTCTTGCCTGTATATTATTAGATTAATTCAAGATTGATAAAAAGAAAAACACATACACACACACACACACACACACACACGCACACGTAAACACAAATATATTCCCATGAAGCAGGCAAGTAAACAAACAAGGTTATATTGACAATTTTTTTTTGTCCGGAAATTTAATTCACTTAGTTCTCTCTCTTTCCTCCTTTGTATATGTAGGTACAAAAAATTTTAACAAAAAAAAATAAATAGAAACGTTATGTTGTTTTCAAAGTATATGGACACTATGTGTGTTCAAATGATGATGAGATAATTATTTTAATTAATTAAATCTACAGACAACAACAACAAAAAAAGAGGCACCGTATACATAAATAAATAAATAACATTCATTTCATTATTATTTTTTCGTATTGTTTTTGTAACTTTTTTTTCTAGATAAAACCAGATTATTTTCTATTGTTATTATTACTTGAAAATAATATACGGATCTCTCATATTGGATTTAGATTTCGACGACCAAAGAGGTGGAAAAAAAACGAGAAAATTAAAAAAAAAAAAAAAAATATACATTTCATATCAATTTAATCCGGTGAATGATCTTTTGTGTTGTTATTATAACATTATCAATCAACAATTCATAAGAAAAAACTAGAACACCTTCCAATGGGTATGGGGGTGTTGCCAGCACCAGATTTTATTGATCATCATACTAGACATCATCATCATAATAATAACCACCACCACCATCATCATCAACAACAACAACAACAACAACAACAGCAACATAATCATCAATTCAATCATCATCATAATCAGCTTATAACAAAGCTGAATATGATTAATAATCATCCATTCAAACAACAACATCAACAATCACAAAGAGATCAATTGATTGCATCAGTTTCAGCATTTGAATCAGCAGCATTAGCAGCTGCTGCTGCTGCTGCCGCTGCAGCCGTTGCATCTTCATCAACACCATCATCACCACCATTACAATCATTACAACAGAATTTAAATACATCAATGAATAACGGCAATATTGATCAGGATGATCATCATATCGATAATGATGATTGTGATGATAATAATGATGACGACGACGATGATGATGATGATGATCTAATGAGCATTAAAGTAGATGAAGAAGATAAAGATGAATTATTTGTAAGTAATTTTGATAAATATTTATTTCGGATAAATTCTGCAAATAGTCAATTAATATAATCAAAATTAAATAATTAGGAAAATGAACAAACAACAACAACGCAATCAACAGCAGCAGCAATGACACATCATCGATCATTGATGCCTCATACAATGTCAACTAGACATTTATATGATCCAAATATGCATCATCGTCATCATCATCATTTTAATCATCATGGACATTCGGATGATTTTCCAAAACGTAAACAACGTCGTTATCGTACAACATTTACCAGTTTTCAATTAGAAGAATTGGAAAAAGCATTTGCACGGACACATTATCCGGATGTATTTACAAGGTAAATTGTTATTTTTTTTTTCATTTCCATAGAAAAAATACATCATCAATAATAATAATCAATTATCAAAACCTAAAAAAAAAAAATCTTTTAGTCCACTCAAAAACATCCACACACACACACTGTTTTACCTGTCAATATTAAACGAATGGCTAAAAAATTTCCATTATCTATGTTGATCATTCGGCAATCGAAATGATGATAATAATCACCAATGGCAAATGATTATAGCCATCACGGACACACATACATTTCATTTATACAGTGAGATTATTTTTTTTTTCGTTTACAGGGCGGGCAATTAATGATAAAAAAAAAATTGAAATTTAATTTAATTTAATTTATCCCCATTTCTTTTTCGAGAAATTGAAAAAAATCTAATAATAATAATATCACCACATAACCTTGTAGTACCTGATATCATATCTTATATAATATTAAACGGGCGGCTTCATACTGTGTGTAAGTGACACACACACACACACACATAAGCATCATCAGATATATGTACATATGGAAATCCCAAACATACACACACACACACACACACCTGTGGTCTTGTATCTCTCTGGTCTCACCGAGAGAGAGAGAGATTGATGAATAAAAAAAAAAATAATTTTTTGCGATAAAAACAAAAAAAAATTGATAACTTGCAAATCTTACTGAAAAAAAAGTTTCAATTTTCATCAAAATAATATTAAGCAAAGTTTTTAAAAAAAAAATTGTAAATAAGAATCTTTTTAATTTCTTGAAAAAAATGTTCAGTTTTTAAGTAATAGAAAAAAAAATAATCCACACACATACACTATGTGTAATCATGTAATTTATGGAAAATGTAATGATGACGACGTCAACTATGAAATGACCATGTGGATCATCATCAACACTGCATACACACACACACACACATAATGATAATGAATGATAAGCTGATGAATTTTTCTTTTTCATCATTGAACATTCGGAAATCAATATCTATCTATGTGTGTGTGTGTGCATAACATGTTTTAAAAGTTAATTTAATTGCCTTTAAATTGGACTCAATCAACGATCATGATAAGCCTATGTATTATGGCCATTAATGATTATTATCATCATCAAACATGAATGACGTTTTTCTTTTCAAATCAAATTTCGAGGCCATTTTCAATTCAATTTAATAATAATGATAATAATTATATAATCAAGTTACATTCGAATTCGATTGTCTCTTCGTTGAATGAATGAATGAATGAATGATCGATGCGTTACTTATCGATATTTATTTTTTTTTCATCCTGTTTTTTAACTATTCTAATCTAAATGTGGTTACAAAATTCAATAATCACCATCAGCCTAAAAAAATTTTCTTTCATTTAGCCAAAAATTATCAAGGAAAAATGTAGAAAAATAATTCATCCTGTTTTTTTTTCTCTGGAAGCATCAATCTATCTAAGCAATATCAATCTGTCTGTATTTTTTCTCTCTCTTTTTCTTAATTGCACTTAATATTTCAATTCGTCAATTATATTCACACACACACACATACATTTGAATGAATTGTTGCTTATCGTTTATTGCTGTTAAATAATAATAATCATCATCATTAATTACAGAAATTAAATTGTTCAATCCCAAATTTTAAAACACAAGTTTAGTTTTTTTTCTGGTGGTGGTTATTAATATTTTTTCATAATACAAATTCTAAACATTATATAGACAATGTTTGTTCCATGTCAATCTTTGATACTTCTTTGTAGATCAGATCAATGACCACCAGGCTAATGTTCAAATGACAAAAAAAAGAGAAAGAAAAATGACTCGAATTTTTAATTAAGTCAAAAAAAATTTCTAATTAAATCTTCTGAATAAATTGGAAAAGAAAACACAAGATAAATGATGCCCAATCATTCTACCTGTAAACCATCAGTGATGTTTTGCAAATGATCTACTAATTGATCAATTGATTTTTTTTGTGGTAACTAGAAAGCAAAAATAATGTAATAATTGATTCTTCTCTCTTTTTTTTTTTTTTGAATAACTAAATTACCTTAACTAAATCATAATGATATAAGCGACAAGAATATTAAGTTATCAATCATAATAATGATTCATTCATTGATTTATTTATCGTCTGAAAAGAGAAAAGGGAGGGCAAAAATGAGAAAAACAAAACAAAAATTGTATCAATCATATTTCTTTTCCTATTGAATTATCAATCCATATATTTATGGCCAATTTTTTCTGTTGTTGTTGTTGTTGTTGTTGTTATAATGATAGTGTGGCTAACTATATGATAGCTGAGTGGTTTGTATTCAGTTCAAAATCATAACAATCAAATGATGATGATGATGATGATGAGATAATAGCCATTCATCTATCCAGCCAGCCAGCCAGCCAGCCTGTCTGTATGTCTGCTATATGTTGATAACCATTGTACATATCATCATCATCATAATTTAACCACTTGTATGGATACATAATGATAATGGTAATTGAAGCAATGATTGGAAAAAAAAATTATTTATCAACAATTGATAAATGAAAAACAAATTCTCTCACTTTCTTGTGCTCGTTTTTGTGTGTGTGTGTGTGTGTGTGAATGAATATACCATAAAATGATGGTTAGTGGTGGTGGTTTGCAATTTTCTTGAAGAATTTTTTTTTTCACTTCAACATTCTTCTATTACCACTAATTGATCAATCTTTGAATTGAATATTTTCAATAAAGTTGTGGTAGTGAAACAGAATGAATTTAGATGAATGGTATAGAAAAGACTTTATTTATATACATGTGTGTGTGTGTGTGTGTGTGTGTGTGGGTCACGTTTATCAAATTAAATTTTTGTTTTTGTTGTTGTTGTTGTTGTTGTTACTAATCTCAATTTGTGTTTGTTTTGTGTATGTCAAATAATTATCGATATATGATATGTCCATATGGATGATTAGAATGAATGATTTACACATCAATCAAAATGGTTAATTGATTGGGAACACCTGAATATAATAACAATAAATGAATGATGATTGAAATTTATCAATCAATCAAAAGAAACAAAAAAAAGAACATTATGGTTAGCTATAATTTGCTTCTACAATTTTAATGGATTATCATTATTATCATTATTTTTTTGTAGTTGTTGTTGTTATTAAAGGATATTATTCACATTTAAATTGCATAGATAATCACGATAATTAAATACCTGCTGTAAATAATTTTTTTTTTTTTTGATAATAATTTCATTTCCATTGTTTTTTCTTTACAATTTTCTTATGTTATTCCAACGATAAACAAAGAGAGGAATTGGCCATGCGTGTTGATCTGACTGAAGCTCGAGTACAGGTATGTTGTTTTGAACTTTTTTTTTCTACTTCTTTTTAATAATAATAATAATAGTCACATGTGAATTATGATTATTTTCTTTATCCATTTTACAGTATTTATTTTCATTCAATGATAATAATCTTGAGATTAATACGGATTTTGTTTGTTAATTGTTTGTTTTTTTTAATTCGTATTTTTTATTTAAAAAAAATCAAGGTTTGGTTTCAAAATCGTCGTGCTAAATGGCGTAAACAGGAAAAAACAACAACAACTACAACATCTACAACATCAACAATTGTTGGTAGTATAAATGCCGGTAGTAATGGTGGTAGCATTGTAAAATCTTCGGGTAATAATAGCAATAATAATAATAATGGTTCCAACAACAATATTCATTCACCATCAACTCATCATCAATCATTATATCATCAAACAAATATAATCGCGCATCCGTATAGCGTGGGTGGTGGTGGTGCCAATACCAGCCACATTATACCAACATCAATATCATCACCGTTACATGGCCTTAGTGGCTCCACATCACTTAATAATAGCAGTAGCGGTGGTGGTAGTCATAGTGTTAGCCCATTACATTTGGCACCTCCTTCACTTCCGCCTCTATCTCATTCATCTACGAATCATACGTCAACATTGGTACCACCTTCCGTGACATCCTCATCGTCTTCATCATCATCATCATCATCATCAACAACAACAGCATCATTACATACAACCAATAGTGACCAATCATCATTATCGATGCATTCATCACCTATTTCCGCATCATCATCCACATCGTTACATCATCAATTTTTTGGATCAAATACAGCAGCGGCAGCAGCAGCAGCTGCAGCTGCATTATCAGCTGCATATAGAAAACAAGCAATAGCTAATATGTTACAACAACAACCGACAACACCAACATCATCAGCAGCATTATTAGAACATTCAATAAAATCCTGTATGTCAAATTATGCTAATAACAACTCTATGCTTGCTCCAAATCCATTTGGATTCCCTGCTGCAAATGCATTTGCGATGCGTGAATTAAGTTTAGCATATCCACATCTATTTCCACCATTACCACCACCACCACCACCACCACCACAACATCCTTCTTCACCGGCAGCTACATCAATACAATCACCATTTGGAAATATATCACCATTTTTTACACCTTATGCTGCAACAAATTCATTTCAAAGTCTATTAGCAACATTATCATCATCATCATCTACATCATCAAATTTACCAATAAAAAATAAATCATTATATGATGATGTAGAAACAAAATTATCGATGCAATTTCCAACTACAACAATGGGTACTCCTGGTAATCCTACTTTAAACCCATTGTTAGATTTACCAACAAATAGTATGGCACATACAATCGATAGTCTATTTCATCATCATCATCATCATCATCAGAATAATCAAAATCATTCTTCATCATCACCAACATCATCATCGATAGATAATGATAACCATACACGATCAATAAAATCACCTTTAATCAATAGAAATATTAATGATAATGGTGGATCTTCATCATCATCATCGGTGATAATAAAATCATCAAAAACAACAGCATCATCATTGATGATATTAACCGGTAGTGATGATTCACAAACAGATATTAGTGAACATTCACCAAATACACCACCACCATCAACAACAACAACAACAACAAAAACAAACAATGACAATGATCATCATCACCACATATCATCGCGATCACCATCACCTTTATTATGCAATAATAATAATAAGAATAAAAAAACATTGGATGAAACCAATCAATCATCATCCAATTTAAAGAATGATACAAATGTTTCATTAATGAATTCGGGTAAATCATCATCATCATCATCGGCTGCTACTACTGCAACAATTTAGTCACACATTCACATCTTTGATCATGGATGGATGGAGATGTTGTTGTTTTTATTGTTACCGGTGGGAATTGTAGAATCTATAGGAATGAAAAACAAACTAAAACAGCAGTATTTTTTAGTCAAAAATGAAAAAATTTCTTCTTTTTTTTTCTCTCAATCCAAAAATAAAATTCATTGCACACAAACACACATTTATATATAAATATGATAGTCGTTGTGTATAGAATTTGTATGATTCGTGATTCTTCTTCATTATATAAGGTATTTAATTCTTAACTTTATTTTTCGTTTTGATATAACATACACACACACACACACACAAAGACATCGTACAAAAATAGAAAAATTATTTATTATCTTCAATTAGAAAATTGATATAATTTGACATATTTGAAATTCCATTCACACACACTTGCACATGGATCACGTTTGTTAATTTTTTTTCTTTAAAAAAAGTACTGAAAAATAAATAAATAAAATTTCACGAATTGATATCAATTTGTGCATGCGTGTTATTTGTTTGTTATATTATTAACTAATTGATGCTACCTTATCACACACACAATATAAATACAAGTAACAAAACAAACAAATAATTGGTATCATCATCATTATCATTATAATTTCGTGAAAATTTTTTTTTTGTTTCTTTAAAAATTCATTACATTCCAATTTTTTTGTTGTTGTTGTTGTTGTTGTTGTGATCATTGTGTTGTATATGATATTCATTACAAATAATAATAATAGCTATTATTATTATCAAACAAACTTTTTTTTTCAATCCACATTTTCCAATGTTTCCATTATCATCATTCATTCATTTATTCATTAATTACATTGAAAAATGAGAAAACAAAATCAATGCATGGAATGATGATGATGATTAAGTACAGAAATTAAAAAAAAACAATTAACCTCTGAATTTAGAAAAATTCTTTTGTTTTTTTTTCGATTCACTCACTCACCCACACACACACACACACACACACACATATACACTTATAGACAATTATCAATTACATATTTGGTCACTGTAGTACTATAATAATAATGAAAATAAAAAATAAAAAAATCATTGTTTCATTTGATGATCGAATTGTACTGTGTTTTTTTTGTTGTTATTATTAGTGCCAATTTAATGTTATTTTTTTCAATTTACTACCATCATCATTTTGATTCTCTTGTCTTGTTGTTCGTTTATTTTATTTACCTGGTAAATGGAGAGAGAGATGGCCTCAATTTTTTTTTCTTTTGTCTTTCGAACAATAAATTATCTTTAATTGAATAATAATTTATGTTGGCCATAATCATTATGTAATGGAATGGTCTGATCATCATCATCATCATCATTCAAATAATTTTTTCCGTTTAAAATTGAAGCAATTTTCTGCCTCGAAAAAAAACGATACACGATTTGCTCTGGATTTTAGCTGATTTAATTCATTTTTCTCTTCTTCCTGCACTTTACTTTTTTTTTTGATGAAAAAATTCTTCGAATTCTCTTTATAGTGAACAAGTGATCAATGGAGAGAGAGAGAGAGAGAGAGAGAAATAAATGTCCATCAAATTATGATGTTAATCAACTTATCAAATCATTGGTTGATTGATTGATTGATTGAATTCAATAAATCACAAATTAGTTACATTTGTTAAGCTTTATTTTTTTTTTCATCTAAAGTAGCAGTTAGATACATCCATTCATTGATCATCATCATCATCATCATCATTAAAGTGTGTGATTAGATCAGATCTTATAATAATTTGATCATTTTCTCTTTATCATCATCATCATCATCATCTTCTATGTGATGCATGCATGAATGATTTTTCTTCAACATACTGGTTTTGTTTACAAAATGTATTTCTTCTTCTTTTTTTTTTGATTTCATTCATCAAAAATAAAAAGAAAAATATTGATCTAATTGAGTTTATTATGGTACACATACACCTACACAACAACAATAATAATAATAATATTCCAAAGATTCAATTATATTGTTGAATTTCATATACAACAGTAAAAAAAGAAGAAGAAAAAGAAGAAGAAAATTCTTTCTTATTTTCGGTCATATTTGATTACAATCTTCATGATGGTTGATTATTATAATGACAATTTTCATTCTATATATATATAATATCATGTGATGGATGATGACATTTGATCATTTGATCATTATTTATATATGATCATATTGCATGATGATGATTATGATGACGATGACAAGAATCTAGTTGTGAATAGAATGATGATGATTACACATATACAAACATAAACACACACACACACATTATATATTGCTATATCAAAAACAATTTTAGAGAATTTTTCTTTACTGCTTTTTTTCTACACATATTAAAAAAAAAATTCAATTTAATTTCGAAATGAAGATAAAATTGACAACAACAATGTTTTTTTTTGTGTAAACACACTTTTGGTTATGATTATTATTATCATTACATTACACATATCATAGCTGTCAAAGAATAAAAATTCATATTTTCCATTCCATTCCATTGAAAAAAGATGAAAATTTTCATTTTGCTATAGTTATTTTCACTTCATTCACATAGTTATCGATTATCGATTATTATTTCAAATTCATATTTTTTTTTGGTTTTGTTTTGTCAAACACAAAAAGCTAATTATTATTTTGTCATTTCATTTTTTTTATCAAATCTTTTTCTTTTTTTTTTTGGTGAAAAACAAACAATAATTATTAACTGATTAATTGATCAAATTGATAACAAAAAAAAATGAACTATCTAAATGAATGATTGCGTGTGTGTATTTTTTTTTTTTTTTTTTTTGTTGCCCCATTTTGGAACAAAAACAACAACAACAACAATTGAATCTAAATATCCAGAGATTATGAAAATTTACAAAACAAAACTAAAAAACGAAATAATAATCACATTTTGACAAAAACAAATGTATAGCACACACACACACACACACTGAAAAACATTACGACATTTTTTCAATTATTTCAATTTCGATCCATAAAACAAGTGGAAAAAATATGCAATTATGGATTACAATAATAATAATTTTTTTTTGATAATAATGAGAACCGATGATTAACATGACAAAATGAAAAAAAAATCATGAAAATCTCCTTGGTTTTTAAATAGGTTTCATTTCATTTCCAGAACAAAAAAAAAAACAAAAACAAAAACAGAAATTATCGGCCTGATCCATATAAATAAAAATGAATAAATGAATGAATCATGTTTATGTGATTTTCGTTGTTGTTGTTGTTGTTGTTGTTGCTGCTGTTGTTGTTGTTGTCATTTCATGATTATTTTTCACATTTTATTTCGTATGTCGTTCATATATATGTCTTTTTCGATATTTGATTGTTGTCGTTGTTGTTGTTGTTGTTGTTGAATGAATGAACACAAAATCAATTAACAGTATAATTAACATTCAGTGCTGTATTCTTTTATTATTTCGTTTGTTCAATTATAATAACATCGAAATGGTATGGACACAGGTAAAGCAGCAGCAGCAGCAGCTATATTTATTTTGTGATTAGATGGAAAAAAAATGTCATGTAACTATAGTTTTTCTGTTTGTTTCATATTATAATTTATTTTCTGTATTAATCTGGTTCGTTGAATGGTCGGTTGGTTGGTTCAAATGATGACCTCACCTGTATGTGAGTGTGTGTGTGTGTGTGTGTGTGTGTATCAATGATATAAAAAAAATATAATACAGCACAGCGTACGAATTTCGACACGTATTACACAGGGGAAATATTACCACCATCATACAATACAGATCCAGTCGTGTTTTTTTTTCACCACTATACCAGAAATGATTTTATTCATTTCATTTCAAATTCGGATAGAAAAAAAAATCATGGATACATAAGTGGGAAGAATCCAAATGCAATGAAAAAAAAAATCACCACCAAATTTTAAATGATAAATATACATGCACACATTGGTCATTTGAATAATGACTATTTTTGTGACCATTAGCTCATCATCATCATCATCATCATTGGTTTACGTTCTTACTAAATGGCTAAATTACGTGCTAATGTCTTCGAGTTTTGGAAAATAACAAAATAAAAAAAAATTCTTTTGTTTCGGATTCAAACACACAGAAACGGAATAATTCCAGTACAATTTGACATTTGGCATTAATTTTCTATATTTAGAATTGTTTTTTATAATTCAATTTTGAATGTAGACAAAAAAATTTTTTTTTTTTTCTGTTTTTCATTATTTTTTGACCATTATATATTAGATTGATAATGTGATCATTATTTGCATATTGAGTATCGTTTGAAACTTGACGTTGTTTTTTCATTTTGTTTTTTGATTATTATATTTCGTTCTTGATCAAAATAGCATTATGATCTGTAATGATGGTGGTGGTCCAAGAATCCAGGATAATGTTTTTTTTTATTGATCACCACGGGTCAAGGTACACATGGTTCTGCTATTCACTTGTGTGTCTTGTCATTTTCGTCAATCAGAATTTCTTTCGATCAAAAAACAATGATGAATGAATGAATGAATGAAAATAAAAATTCTAAATATTGAAAAAAAAACAGAATTACGATAAGATATTGAATTAGGATAAAAAAGAAATTTTAACGAAAAAAAAAATTTGTTAAAGCAATCAATCAACTGCCTACAAATGATATGAATATTACAAATGATGATGATGATGATGATTGCATGTATATATCATATGGATGATTGTGTGTGTCCACTGAAAAAAAAACAAATTATCATTTCCGACGACCGATTTTTTTGTTATTGTTGTTGTTGTTGTTGTTTTCGCCTCATCCAGTTTTTAAATTAATTTAATGAATTTTCAAATCATGATCATAGCCAGTGTGTGTGCGATGTGTTATTCATCATAATCACATTGACGTATAATGATGGTGATGATGAATACCAAAAAAAAACTGAGGCAAAGAAGAAGCTGTTGTAAGTTTTTCTTGTAATGAAATCGAAAAAAAAATTTGGCCAAAATAAAATTAGATTTCCTATTATTATTTTCATACCTATGAGGATGATGAAATGGTAATTCATTCATTCATTCAATTTGGCCAAAAACATCAACATATATGATGATTGAGTAGAAGTTATTTTTCGTTTCGTTGTTGTTGTTGCATCCATCACACACACACACACACACAGCGAAAACACTTGTTGTTTTTTTTGTCGATCGTTTCGCACGAATTTCTAGTTGGAAAATCATCATCATCATCATCATAAACAAATCATAACAATCATCCCCCTATCCAGCAATGAAAAAAAAATGATTGATACGTAATGGATGATGACGAAAACAACAACAAAATTTCAAAAAAAAAATTGATATGATTGATCTAGTTATAATAATGATTGATTGTTATCATCATCATCATCATCACTATTTGCTATTCTGGTCATCATCATTGGGTTTTTCTAGTCTTTTTTTTCATTATTCGGTTAATACCAATCAACACAGCAGCAGCAGCAGCAGCATCAGTCAACGAGCAAGT